TGAGACTTAACATAAAGCTACAGTAATCAAGAAAGTGTGGTATTCATAGATAGACAGATAAATGGAACAGCATAGACCCATATAAATATAGTCAACTGGTCTTTGACAAAGGAGCAGAGGCAAGACAATGGAGCAAAGGTAGACTTTTCAACAAATGGTGCTGGAACAACTGGACACCCACAAACAGCAACAACAAAAGAATCTAGACACAGACATTACACCCTTCATACAGATTAACTCAAAATGGATAATATACCTAAATATAAAACACAAAACTATACAACTCCTAGAAGATAGCATAGGAGAAAATCTACATGACTTTGAGTATGGTGATGACTTTTTAGATATAACACCAACAGCACAATCTGTAAAAGAAATAATAGATAAGTTGGATTTTATTCAAATTAAAACCTTCTGCTGGCCGGGTGCAGTGGCTCACGCCTGTAATCCTACCACTCTGGGAGGCAGAGGCGGGCGGATTGCTCGAGATCAGGAGTTCGAAACCAGCCTGAGCAAGAGCGAGACCCCATCTCTACTATAAATAGAAAAAAATTAATTGGCCAACTAATATATAGAGAAAAAATTAGCCGGGCATGGTGGCACATGTCTGTAGTCCCAGCTACTTGGGAGGCTGAGGCAGGAGGATCGCCTGAGCCCAGGAGTTTGAGGTTGCTGTGAGCTAGGCTGATACCGTGACACTCACTGTAGCTTGGGCAACAAAGTGAGACTCTGTCTCAAAAAAAAAACCAAAAAAACCTTCTGCTCTGTGAAAAAAAATGTTGAAAGAATGAGAAGAGAAGCCACACACTGGGACAAAATATTTTCAAAAGATGTATTTGATAAAAGATTGTTATCTGAAATATACAAAGAACTCTTAAATCTCAACAATAAGAAAACAAACAACTTGATTTAAAAAAAAAAAGGGCCAATGACCTTAACAGACAGCTCACCAAAGAGGATACATATAGCTAGCAAATAAGCATAGGAAAAGATGCCCCAGGTGATAGATATGTCATCAGGGAAATGTAAATTAAAACCACTACACACCTATTAGGGTGGCCAAAATCTGGAACACTTACGACACCAAATACTGGTGAGTATGTGTAGCAACAGGAACTGTTTCTGGTGGGAATGCAAAATGGTACAGCCACTTGGGAAGACAGTTTGGCAGTTTCCTGCAAAACTAAGCATCCTTTCACCATATGATCCAGCAATCACATTCTTTGGTATTTACCCAAGGGAGGTGAAAACTTATGTCCACACATACACACACAAAAACCTGCACACGGATGTTTATAACAGCTTTATTCATAATTGCCAAAACTTGGAAGCAACCAAGACATCCTTCAGTGGGTGAATGGATAAATAAACTGTGATACACCCAGACAAAGGAATATTATTCGGTGCTAAAAAGAAATGAGCCACCACGCCAAAAAAGACATGGAGGAACCTTAAATGCCAATTACTGAGTGAAGGAAGCCAATCCGAAAAGGCTGTGTGATTCCAACTACCTGACATTTTGGAAAAGGCAAAACTGTGGAGACAGTGAAAAGATCAGGGGTTGGGGGAGCGGTGGGGTGACTAGGCAGAGCACAGGGGATTTTTAGTACAGTGAAACTACTCTGTATGATACTATAATGATAGATACATCTCATTATATTAATACATTTGTCCAAACCCATAGAAGGAAGGTACAACACCAAGACAGAACCCTAATTTCGACCATGGCCTTCAGATGATTATGATGTGTCAGTGTAGGTTCATCACTTGTAACAATTGTACCACTCTGGTGGGGGGTGTTGATAATGGGGGAGGTTAAGATATGTGGGGATATTTCTATACCTTTCTCTCAAGTCTGCTGTGAACCTAAAACTGATTTAAAAAAATAAAGTTGGTAATAAAATAAGAAAAGAAAGAGGAAAAAGAAACGTCCTTAGAGTAGAGTTCATGGGAGAGAAAGGGCATGGAGGAAGTAGCATTTGAAATGGTCCTTGATTGACAGACAGAACCGCAGACAGCCTAGTTAAGAGTGGCACTCCAGACAGGAATGACCAACACTAACAAAGCCTAGTGGTGGGGAGGGAATGTGGAATAACTAGTTTTCCTGGAACAAAGCTTTGCATAGGAGAGAGATCAAGGTTAAAACCTTAGGTCACTACTATCTAAGGCCTTGAAGGTCAGGAGAAAGCATTTGAATTCCATACTTCCATTATCATGATTATCATGCATTTTCAACACAAGGCCCCCAGAACAATGATAGCAGTAATTACTCACAAGTAACAGTTATAGACCAGAAAATGAAGTAGGAAGGGATTTCGCTTTTCAGATGCCCACACAATTGACAGCGTCAAATTGCATTCACAGTCTGTAATAGATTCCAAAATTTTGCATTTGTTCCCATGTGTCTTGATGTTTATGAAATCCAATCCAAACATTTCCACTTCACTGTTGATCTACTTCTCTTAGGATTATCTCATATTTATCTAGGGATCCCAATGGTAGCCTTACACACCGACATCACAACCGACTGTGCTTCCTTTCAGGTAGGGAAGAGAAACTTTCTCAGAGCTGGGAACTCTATTAATATATACCAACCACAAACACCCGCACATTCCACAAATATGATTTTCCTTCCCCTTCAACAGTAAAGTCACAAAATTAGGGTGTGTAATTCACACTATAAATTTAACTGGTATTAATATAAATACTCTTTTAAAAAAGTTCAGGCTCAGAATAACCAGAGGAACACATACAACAGCATTAGGGAGGCTTAGGAAGATAGTAACTGGACTAGTAATTAAACTTTTTCTGATGTTGTTTATCTTCATAACTCTAATGTTCTGGAAATTATGTCTTTGATGTGTATCTTTCCAAATCTGTTGTAGTTTCAAAATATACCCAAGTAGAATATTTAAGAAATTCTGATCATGGGTGGGATCCGATTGCTTTAAACTGTCCTGCCTTACCTGGTACTTTCTTATTCTTTTGATTCCATTTAACATAATACAGTTTTGCAAAACTATATTTCAGCCATTTTTACCTTGGCTTAAAAGGGTATAAATAGGCATGATATAAACTAGAACTTAGTTATCTGGAGCTCTTAATATTATATACTTACTCTTATTTTCTCCATAAAATAAGACAATTACAAGGAAGCAATAATTTTCACAACAAATATTTATTTTTTATAAATTCACATTCACAGCCATTTCTCATTATAAAATTAGCAAAAATTAAAAATATATATATATAAAGTTGATGAGGATATTGTGATATAAACATTCTCATTCACTAATGCTGTCAATTTAAATGAGAACAAACTTTCTCAAAAACAATTTGGCAAAATGTAGCAGGAGTTCAAAGCATCTATTCCATTTGTCTCAATTATATACATATGCACAGAGCAAAAATATATATTTCCCCAAAATCAAAGTGTTAATTGTAATAGTGATTTCTTGACAACAGAATAATAGGTAGTTTTTATTTTAGTATTATATTTTTAATATTTTTGTCCCTGGTGAGAAAGTATTACTCCCTGATTATGGTAAAAAATCATTTTTATCACTTAAGAATATTTATAGAGAATTTTAATAAAATAAAATATTAATTATATTCAGTGAAAAGAATGCCACATTTTATAAAGAATATAGTAATATCAACTAATTATGTATGTATATGTGTAAATATATAACAATTTATCAAATAAATACAGCTGTGTACTGAGGCCTAAAATGAGGAACAATGGAGCCAAATGTAAAACCGTGTTTATCAATAAGTGTTAGCATTATCAGAATATGAATTATGTATTTTTTTTAAAGCCAGTCAAATTTAGCAGTGGGGGGTTGAATACCAACTTTAGTGACACTAATGTTAATAAGTTCTGATAACCCACTACCATTGGACCAGCCATATGTATTATTTTTAATTATTGATTTTATTTACTTTTTAAGTTTTTCAGCACTGAGCTTATATTGCTTTTATATTTAGAAAAAAACACTATTAAAAAACTCAAATAGAAAAAAATCTCCACAGAGCATGATTATATCATACATTTTATTCACTGTACAGTTTATAAATCCTGTCAAGTTGTGACCTTCCTCTAAGAGGATTAGACTAGATATTCTCTAAGACATCTCTCAGCTCTAAAAGCCTCTAACTCTATGAATCAAACAGCAGACACCTAATAAATAATTGCTGAAACAGTGGACCATGTCTACTGTAAATCTGAAAAGACTCCAACTTTAAGGAGGAATAATAACCAAAGCATGGCCTTGGCATTAAAGAAACTTAGTCACCATCCTGGTTGGGTCTCGCTTTGCTCGTTTGAGGAGTGGGGATAGTAACGTCTCTTTCGAAGGACAGAAAAGGAGCTGGAATGTGATAATCTGAAGCCCTTGCTGTTGGCTGGCACAGAGTAGATGTTTCATAAATGATAGTTTCTCCTCAAAATGCAAGGCTTGATTTGCCAGACTGCACCAGATCGCCAGTTTGCCATCTCTGGATCTAGGCTCCCTTTTTGGGCTCCACAGCTGGAGGTAGAAGGGTCACCTCCGTGGGGACTACGTGAAACTTACTTAGCTCTGGGACGTTGAGGCCCGAGTGGCGGGGCGTGGGCAGGCCAGTCTGCCCCTGGGCGCGGAGGCCGGAGCAGCGCAGGGAGGCGGGCGGGCGGGAAGACGCCCTCTGCCGGGCTTGTCACCCACCCACCGCACTGTCTTCCTGCCCCGCCCTGCTTCCCTCAGAAAACAGGTAACCGTACAGATTACCGGGCAGTCCCCGTGCTAGGTTTTGGAGCTTGAAAATTAAATAAGATACTGGCTCTGTCCTTAAGGAGGTTCTGGCCCGGTGGGGGAGGCAGGTAACAGGAAAACGAGGCCCCACGCGGTCAGCCCTGCCCACAAGGGAACCGACGGTGCGGAGACGGGAGAGCTCTCCCGCCGGGGTGGGGGGCATGTGAGAGTAAAATTCCAAAAGGAATTTTACTTTCTGGCAGAGGCAGATTTTACACTAGCAGGCAAGCCGTTTTGGGGCGGGGGAAGGGAACGCCCCATCGGGACCCCCATATGGAGATGTAAACAGCAGGGAACCTCGTGTCCGCCGGAGAGGAGGATGCGAGGGAGGGACAGGTACCGAGGGAGGGACAGGTGCCGGTAGGAAGTGAGGCTTAAGACCAAACCATGAGGGCTGGGCCCCACGCTTACGTATGGGAAGCAGTGTCTTGAAGCTTGAAGGGACATGACCACATCTGTATTTTAGGGTACAACCTCTGAGGAAAAAGTGTCTCCTGGGTTGGCGGTGGAAGAGATTGGAGCCTGGGGAGACCGGCTGGAGGGCCTGGGACAGTCCAGAGTGGGATGATGAGGGTGGGGCAGGCTCAGAGAGAAGCAGAAAGGAGATGTGACAGCAGGCAGGAACGCAAGAGTGGCTGGGAACCGTTCGTTCCCCAGGTGTGCAACTGTGGACATTGCCTGGCCAGGTAACTCTGGGCATTTCTGGGCTTGGCGTGTTGCTAATATTGCGTGGAGAGATAATTTGATAAAGTATTCACTGTCAGGAATCCAAGATCACTGGCTTGAAATTGCTGTTCCTTGTGACTCTAGAAAAGGGTCCCCTGCCTCTTTTTCTTTTTTTTCGTTTTTTTGTTTTTCTTTGTTTACAATACCATTGATTCCCATGAATATTATCATTCATATTCAAAGTTGCAACACTCCTAAACCAATCAGAGAGGGTCCTGATTTGGGGACTAACTCCAGAAATACACTTTCTGTGAATCTTTCTTTTATCTCCATTCTATGGTATTTTCCAGCAATGATCTAATTCTCCAGAAATGCATTCTAGATAAGACCTTTTTGAATCTCCATATCTGAGAAAAAACATGATAGTAAGTGCATTCCTTGTACAAATACATTAAAGTGTGACTTCTGGAGAGTGTGTCACAATAAATGGCTAAGAAGGACAAGGCTACACTGTAATTCAGGTGCTGGGTATCTGCACTGGTTAGAATGTTTGTGTCCCCTCCAAATTTCATATTTTGAAATGTAACCAACAATGTAACAGTTATTAAGAGGTGGGGGATTTCTGGAAGTGATTAAGTTATGAGAGTGGCACCCTGGTGAATGCTATTAAGTGCCCTTACAAATGGGCTTGGCGGATTGAGTTCATCCCATTTGCCCTCCCATCCTCTGCCATATGAGAACGCAGCCTTCAAGAAGGCAGAGACTGGGCCTTCTATAGACAATGAACCTGCTGATGCCTTGATCTTGGACTTTCTGGTCTTTAGAACTGTGAGAAATAGATTTCTGTTTTTTATAAGTTACACAACCTGTATTTTGTTATAGCAGCACAAAAAGACTAAGACAGGGTCAGATAGAGCACTTTCTAGTGAGATACTCTGTCAGGAATACTATGCTTTCTGCATAATTCGAACTTTAACTCAACAACAAAAACAAAAAATTCCCTGCGTCATTGGCTTTGGGATTATTTTTGAAGTGCAAGCATCACTGAATACCAAATGCCAAAAATAATTTCTTTTAAATTGGCTATGAATGACTTCTGTTAAAATAATGCTGCTTGTCTGAAATCCCTTTAATATTATTATAATTTAAAAATTATCAAACCTCTTGTTTTTGTCCTTTGATACTTCATTTACTGCTTCCAAGCTTAAAGAAGTTATCATAACTGCTTGTTTCTGTTTTCTGCTACTTTGCTGTGACTTGATTTATATGTTTAATTGTTAAATCTATCTAAAGTTTTTTGGTATAATGTAAATTAAATTGTTTTTGATATTGCTAGCATGAAGAAATAAATTCAGAAGGGGTTTTACCTTTCCACAAAGCAGATAATTTGCATGTTTTGTAAACTGCTTAGCATGGTATAAATGTGAGATAATTTAAACCATAGGAAAAATATTTTTTCACTCCATCTCTCCCTTGGAAAATATTTGAAATATAGTAGTCACATTTCTTATTCCTCTTTGAAGGTATTTTTGGATAGAGTCCAGGAAAAAGATCCTTTGTAAAAACAGATGAATGTTTTATCTGAAAATTTGGTCTGCTTTAAAAAAAGTTAACTACCAAGCATGTTTAAGTGTCTATGTTAGTTACTGTGGTACAAATTATATTCAGTAGAAGTTTCACACTGAGAAAAACCATGAAGTACATAAGATGAATGCATTCACTGTGATTATGCTCTTCAGGAACTAGAAAATAACTACTTAGAATGATTATGCATGAGAATAATTGCTGTTCAATGAAGAAAAACTGGGGAAAATAATTATAAGAGTGAAGACGATATTTCCTAACCATCTGTCATTTAAAAATAAGAAACAAAAAGAGAAAACATAGTATGCTTTTCAGAAAGACTTGGAAGCAGTGCCAAAAGGCGAAACTCTGATGGTGTACACACAAAAGAGCTTCCAGAAGAAATTTGAGATTACTATATACAAAGGGCCTAAGGTGTATTTTAGTGTTACAATTAATTACCTTTATTTGACATTTCTACATAGCCAAGGTGAGAGAACAAATCCAACTGAGATGTCACTAATTGGAAACAGGAAACACCAATAGGAAGACATTTCTTCCTACGAGGTTGGGGGGGGGACGGGTGGATAGGGTAGGAAGGAAGATGACTATAGAGAAAAGCAATCTGGTATTTATCACTTTGAATTTTCTATTTTGTTTAATGCATTGAAGAACTATTAGTAAGCTAATAAAACACTGTATTGTTACAGGCTTTATTTCCGATAACATTTTATTGGTGTTCTCTTCTGTTGAAGCAATATTCTTAAGTCTTTGGATATTAGCCCCTGCAATATGCCTGTCAGAATTCTCCTACCTTGGAGGAGCTGATGGTCTGGGTGCAGAGGAAGGAGCAGCACGAACCATTCAGTGGGACTGGTTTGCTGTTGTTTAACAATATAAGAGTTAATAACCAGACAAGACAACAATACAACAGATGCTGCAAGGCAGTATGTGATTAAGGGTGCAGCTGGAAGTAATCTCTCTCCTCTAAATTTCCAAGAGCTTATCTGTGCTCCTTAAGGCACTTTCCCCTCTCTCTCTGATGTTAGTTACTTCTTTGTCTTTTTCTCCCTACTAGAAGCGAATGACTCCAGGACAAAATCCCAGTCTGATTGTCTTTGATACCCTATACAGACCCTAGCCTAGGCCTGCCTAGCATTGCTGCAGGGAAATATTTGTTATTTGAATAAAATGAAGGACACAGAGAATAAGTTCTGGGTGCAAAGAAGATGAGGGGAGGGGTGTGGGTTAGTGTGAGGATTCTCACTTTGGACAAAATGGTTTAAGACAAACAATAAATGTCTGGTGTGGACATTGTTTTTCCCTCTGCAGCTCCTGCATACCCCTTCTGTGGTGAGAATGCTTTGACTTTCTTTTGGAGAACTACCACTCCCCTATTGCATGTCCATGGTGGGACTGTCATCGAGTTATCCTGCCCTCCCCTGTCCTAAATAATGACACTCTTGTGGATACGGGACTTAGGTACAAGAACAGAAATTACCAGTGACTCATCCCAATGGTAGTCTATCCACTGGGATAACGGAGATCATTCATTTGGTCTGCTGTTATTTGGCAGGAAAAGGCTGGCTACTAGTTCTTTGTCATTCCTCCCATAAAGAGGCAAAGTCTGGCAGGGTGCAGTGGTTCATGCCTATTATTCCAGCACTTTGGGAGGCTAAGGTGGGAGAATTGCTTGAGGCCAGGAGGTCAAGACCAGCCTGAGCAAGACACCGTCACTACAAAATTTTTTTGACAGAGTCTCACTACAAAAAAATATTTTAAATTTCAAGATATTAAGGGGGTACAAATGTTTTTGTTACATGGATATCTTTATATCTTTTTTTTTTTTTTTGGAGACAGAGCCTTGCTCTGTTGCCCGGGCTAGAATGCCATGGCATCAGTAACCTAGCTCACAACAACCTTAAACTCCTGGGCTCAAAGGATCCTTCTGCCTCAGTCGCCCGAGTAGCTGGGACTACAGGCATGTGCCACCATGCCCGGCTAATTTTTTCTATATATTTTTAGTTTTCCAGCCAATTTCTTTCTATTTTTAGTAGAGATAGGGTCTCACTCTTGCTCAGGCTGGTCTCAAACTTTGGAGCTCAAACGATCCTCCTACCTCAGCCTCCCAGAGTGCTAGGATTACAGGCATGAGCCACCATGCCCGGCCCATACTGTTTTCTGTAGAGGCTGCACTAACCTGTAGTCCCACCAACAGTGTATAAGCATCTGTTATTTTTTGACTTTTTAGTAATGGCCATCCTGACAGTATGAAAATATGGTATCTCTTTGAAATCCTCTGTTCAGTTCTTTTGGATATGTAGCCAGAAGTGGGGTTGCTGGATTATATGGTAATTCTGTTTTTCATTTTTTGAACTCTCATTCTGTTATCCATAGCAGCCACACCATTTTATATTACCACCAACAATGCACAAGGGTTCCAATGAGCATGGGTATTTTAAATGTAGCAAAGAATCTGTTTATGCAACCTATCTGGTTTCCCTGGACTAAACAATTGGCTTGATAACCTTCCTATATTCTCTCTCTTTCTTTTTTCCTATTGGTCAGGAAGCTATACAGTATGTTATGATTCTTTTACAATAGACTTTAACATTTTTTACATGTATACTTAAATATTTTTTCAAACCAAATTGAAAGCTTTTTAGTGTTTTTATCTTCTCCTAAACACAACATGACATATTAAAATATGCCTGAACGATTCATTGTACAAGCTCACCCCATCATATTAATGTTCTCTGACCCCACTTACCCCATCTTATCAGTGTTCTCTGGAGGTTTAATTTCACATTCTTCAGAATGGATACTAACTTAGCATAAACAGCTTCTTTGCTCACACCATTGCCATGCTGAATGAGTGACAGCCCCAGCCTGCAGATGGATAAACTCTTGATCTGACGCTTTGCTATCTGAAAAAATGGTCTCATTTTGCACCCACATTGTAATAGTCTAGCAGTGTAGATGTCTAATTTCCCTCAGCACCTTGAAGATATTACTTCACTGGCTTCTTTGAGGCATCTCATATTTCTAAGGGGAAGACTGTGGCTTGGAAAAGAGGAATTCAAAGACAGCCTGATGTGATGGAATCTGCAATATCAAAGTAAGGCAGCAATATCAAAATACTGCTGTATTTTGCTTCTGAACTGGGGCCCCTGGCTGCTGCGTGGATATTGTCAGACAGGAGAGCATGAACATCAGCTCTAGACTGTCATTCCTATGCACATCATCTGTCTTTTATCTACAATAGCCCTTAAAATTTTCTTTTTGTTCTTGATATTTTAAAGCTACCCTGTAATGGTTTGACTTTTTAATTTTTTTGGTATATAAAATCATCTTTTGATGTGAGGATTCAACTTTCCCTTCATTTTCTTCTTTTGGAATCCTCATAATCTAACCTCCATACGTCTTAATTGTTCTCTCATGTTTTTCTTGTCTTTAG